ATTTGCTTATTTCGATCATGATTTGATCAATTTAGCCCATGTTTAAGCCACATTATTTTTTTCATTCTCATTATTCTACTCATTTTCAACTACATATTCTTCAACAAAATAATATTTGTCATCACATCAATAACTTTTCTTTCTTTTTCAACCACATATTTCTCATCACATCAACCAAAAAAGATACATTCTTGGAGCAAAAATGTGCATCAAACAAAGGCTTATATTTTTTAAAACATGCGTTGATTTTCTATTTGGAAAAAAAATATAAAAAGTTCGAGTGTAATATCTTAGGATGAAACATCTAGAATTCTTTTATTTCATTGAGTGTCGTAAACTTTTTGTCATCAGTTTAGCCTCTTATGACGCGAGTTTACTCAAAATTTTTTAAATTTTAGCACATCCTAACGTTATTTTCTGGCTCCGCGCCTGTGTACATATCTATATTATGAGGTAGTATCATGAGAAATTGAGTTTAAGTGCTTAAGAAAGGATTTTATTAAGTTAAAACACATGGATGAGGGAATCCTGAAAGAGGATAAGAAAAATGAGATGAAGGAAAATTTTCTTGAGCTATCTTAGAAAAATTTCGAGGACGAAATATACTTAGAGCTTGTTTGAGAAGGATTAAAATCCAATTAAAATTGAAAATATAGTCGTTATTGGGTCCCACTCGTCTAATAAAAGTAACTCCAACAACTATATTTTTCAATTTTAATCTGATTTTAATCTCTCCCAAACAATCTCTTAAAAAGGAAATTTGTAATGCCACAAAAATTCGTAGCCTTACTTATTTAATATTAGGGGGGTTGAAATTATGAGTTGAAATCATATTTTGGCGATAGTCCACTTTATTTCTCGGAGGTCACGATATATATATTTCCAAAATTTTGAGGATGTTTGGTGTCAAAAAAGAAGATTGAGGGTAGAGTACTAACAAATTGGAAAGGTTAGGGATGAAAAGTGCAAAAAACCTAAAAGTTACAGCGTCTTATCCTTTAAAACTCCAAAACCTCGAGCCTCAACCTAAAACCCGTAAACAGAAATTTCCAACAATGCTTCTGCAACCCACATCCTCAAAATCATCCATCAGTTTTCGTCACCAAAACCAGAATCATGCCCTTTTCAAACAACCCATTATTGTTACCCTTCAAACCGATAAAAATCCAATCTTGATAAAGGG